CACGCCCCCGTCTGTGTAGTCGCAAGGGCCACTCAGCTAGTCGCTCCGTGCTTAGTTTACGAGACTGACTGTTCTGAGCGCGGTGGCACGCTTAGAGGCGGCCTCGGCCGCACCAACCGCCTGCGCCCTCCATCTCAGTTCTTCTCGACTTTGCCTTGCCACCGGGTACAGGTGCGGGAGTGGAAAAAGAGAGGGGGAGTAGGGTAGATCCTGCGCGAGTCTACTTCCACTATAATCCAGCCTGATCTACTGATTGTTTTCATCAGGACCTATTTGTATTTTCCTTTTTTTACAGTTCTATGGCTGTTCTTGCGATTCTTCTCCTTCTTCGTCTCTAACAAGGCCCTAGGACCCTACCTCATCACGATCTTCAGAATGTTTGCGGTTGCAATCACCTTCCAGGCCATTATTCTGACAATTTTGATTCCCTGCGGCATCGTCCAACAGTCCCTCCTCTATCCCAATCGAACGGAACTGACCTGGCAGGCGATTAAGGACGTGCTGTTTTTCAATTACTACCGCCTCTTCGGTTTTATGCAGTTGGAAGAGATTAGTGGTATTTCGATCAATTTTAACTCTTTACTAACAAGCCTGATATGTTTCGACAGCTTTCAGGTACACGCGTTCCGAAAATCTTTACTAGCTAGTCAATGATTCGAGGATGGCAGATAATCCGTTCTAAATAAACATTAACTTACCTGGTTATAGAATGTACGTATTAGTCGATTTATTATATGCATGTTTTAGCCACGCCGTCACGCAGTTTATTGCTTTTGGCAGTGTTAAGCATGTTCAGGGCCGCATTTTACCAGGACAGACAAAAGTGGAAAAGGCCCGCATGGTCTGCTTGGGATGAGCTCATACAGGCTCATGCACAATGACCGCGTTTTAAACTTGAAGTTGTTTAAGGGTTTTTGAACACTAAAATTGCTTCCTAAACTCCCGAAGTATAAGTTTAGCTTCCGCTAAGCTGCGAAATAGTTACTCCGTGCAATATAACGTTCCCAGTGCCAACAAAAATATTTTTCACTGTCGGCCGAGACAACGGAGACTGAAGTGGCCATTTTTGCCTCATTAGCCCTCATTAGCCAGTCATATCCAACTCCAAGTGGTGCACCATGCGAGGCTAGAAAACGGCGACCATTTGATCGCAAATTTAATGTTATAACCAGTCAGTCACGAGCTCGCCATCTTTTTCTAGCCTCAGGTAGTGCACCATGTGCAAATGGGGATGACTGGCTGATGAGGACATACAGTAGATTCACTATCTCATGCAATAGCTACCGGAATTATGAAATAAGTTTTCGATTGGAACAGATTAATTGCCGATGGTTGTAATAGAGATAATAATGCAGCCTAATCTTAACATATCTTAGACACTTTAGGATGCCGGCTTTCTAACGAGCTTCTTTCTGACCGTCAAGACAAAGCATGTACTATAAAAAGTGACTACTTAAGTAGTATGCCTTTTTGTCATTAATTTCGACTGCCTTTACAAATGCAAATATATTTTAGGGAGAAAATGCACGAAAAAATTATTTCTTGTACTCTTTTGGTAGAAAATTACGCCTTCT